TGCTGCTGCTGTTGGTGTTGTTCCTGTTGCTGCTCATGTTGCTGCTGTTGTTGTTGCTGCTGATGCTGCTGTTGTTGCTGCTGTTGTTGTTGCTGCTGATGCTGCTGCTGTTGCTGCTGTTGTTGTTGCTGCTGTTGTTGTTGCTGCTGCTGTTGCTGCTGTTGTTGCTGTTGTTGTTGTTGCTGTTGGTGTTGCTGATGTTGTTGTTGCTGCTGTTGCTGTTGTTGCTGCTGTTGTTGTTGCTGCTGCTGTTGTTGTTGCTGTTGTTGTTGTTGTTGCTGCTGTTGTTGCTGCTGCTGCTGCTGTTCCTGTTCCTGCTGCTGTTGTTGCTACTACTGCTGCTGCTGCTGCAGCTGTTGTTGTTGCTCATGTTGAGCATGAAAAAATCTATGTGTTATATTCCAGGCATGACCAACAGAAGAGACCTCATAGACGATGCACTACTCAGACCTGGACGTTTGGAAGTCCAAGTGGAAATTGGTAATGAAATCGTTGTTGTCTTCATTTCCCTTCCTTCCATTCATTTAAGTACTATACTAGTAACCTTTTGATACTACATACAGGACATCTATCCCAGGTTTTCCATTTGGGAAGCCCCCTTCTTTTGTTTTTCAATCCATTGACCCAGCGCAAAGAATATTTTAGAGTGGCAATCAAATTTACAATGGTTTAAGTTAATGTGATTGGAAGCCCAAACCAAATCTCTGTTTTACATAGTAATGAGGTTACTATCGTTAAATATCCCACTGAGTGCAGAGGTTAATATTAGCAGTAATGTTAAAGAACACGAAACACTTCACACTTACTACCACTACGTTTGATATTCTAAGCATTAACTCCCAACTCAAATGCAAGAAGGAGAAAAACAGGAGAACCTAGAGAACAGGATGAAGGATTAATTTAAGTCGTTTACTTTAAGGATTAAATAGAAAAGTTAATTGAAGGTTTCACTCAATATAGAACATTTGTCCCTATGTTCATTTGTTCCAGTTACAAGGACCCAATTAGTTAACTTGGAGAATTATTAGGTTAAGTTCTAAGGACCGATTTAGGTCAGTTTAGTTTAAATCATTTATTCATGCCGTTTAGTTGATAGGATCTATTGTAATTGGGGAAAAACTGTAGTAGATTCCTAGCCTCCCTTATTTGATCTCTTATTATTCAGTGATACATTTTGTAGTCTCTTTTCTTTAACCCACTAGCTATTGATAACCTAAGAGTTGGCTATAAGTAAAATAAGATAAAAATAAAATAAAACAGCGCATCAAACACACTCCATTCACATGGCGACCACAGTTATCTGAAAATGTATTGCTATGTCACCCATGCCAACCAAAGTGTTTGGGAGTCGTGAAACTTTCAAAAAACAGCACTAATTCGTTATTTGTTTGTTTGTACTTTAATAGGATTACCAGATGAGAAAGGTCGTGTACAAATCCTAGAGATTCACACGTCCAAGATGAGAGAAAATGGAGTTTTAGCAAGTGATGTTGACTTAAAAGAAGTGGCATCACAGACCAAGAACTTCACTGGTGCAGAGATTGAAGGTCTGGTTAGAGCAGCTCAGTCCACAGCAATGAACAGGTTCATCAAGGTAGAAAATAACTTCTGTAGCGTTGATCATTCTGGCCTGGGGGGGGGGGTGTGGGTGGGTTGTAGGGGGGAGGGTGCGGTCACTGGGTTCTTGTATACACTACTACTTCTGTACAGGAATGTCTAAAGTATGTAGAAAATAATTTTATTGTAATTCAAAATTTTATTTCTTTATTATGATAATGATGGATGATAATATAGCGCACTATTTATGTTTGTTGATACTAAACGTCGCTTCCAAAAACGAGATGTGGTTAGTATTAGTGTAGACACTGAGGGTGGTCACTGCCAGGGTTTCATTACATCTACAGTGGTTCTTTTACGTTCCTTTAATATTTGTTATTGATGATGAATCTCCAAAAATGGCGATTCCTAGATCCACCCCTACAGCAAGACCCTCTCTCTCCCTCTCTCTCTTCCCCCTCCCCTAGAGCGCCGCTACGCAGGCTACCTATTTATACGTATTAATCTATTATTGCTATCAATTTTGTATCGTTAGATGACAAATAACTTTGAGATTGACCCAGAAGGGGCGCAAAGCATTATGATCAGACGTGAGGACTTCAACCATGCAATTGAACATGACATTAAACCTGTAAGTTGTTTAGGGCATGCAGAACGAACTCAGACACATAGTACTAACTAAAGTAAAGCTTATTTAATGTTCTCATTATCTAATCATGGGAGATTAAAGGTGGTGTAACTCTCACCTCTGGGTGTGATTCCAAGACTCTACATTACACTTGAGCATAGTTTGTCATGTTTGTCCGTTGGTTTGAGAGTATTCTCTCAGAATTCACCAATTTTTCTCCCTCCGCAAAGTGTAAATCAATTCTAATTCAATCTGTTACCTAGCCGTGCCTTGACTCAGCTTAGTGGACATTTCGGGGTTCAATAAAATTGAAGGGCGACTTATACTTATTACGGAGTATTTTTGCTAGGATAGTCGTAATAGCACAAAATCATGGTCCACAAATGGGCGGTAATGATTTAATCAACATCAATTTTCTTTCCAGGCATTTGGTCCAAGCGATGATAATCTCGAGCTCTACGTGGCAGAAGGTACTTCACTGTTTTATCTTTCTCCCTCTAAACCTTTCTTCCTTGTTCTCACTGATCATATGTGCTTCTAGGTATTTAAAATATGGCTTATTCAGTCAGTCTTGTTAAACAAAGTGGTGGGCGGATGATGTTGAGCGCACAATTCCAAGTGACCTTAAGTATTTATTTTGGATTTTTTCTGATCCATACACATTTGAGTTTTTTTGTCATAAACAGGGTACCACTTTCAGAATC